TTGTCTATCATAATACATATAGTTCACATTCTACATTTTACAGGTACCCAACAGGACTATACTTTTTGCTAGTGATATTTGAAGTAAGAATGCCGCTGGCAATCTTTACTAAAAAATTTACTAAACAACTCCTTATTTAAGAAACCAATCTTATCCATTCAAATTATGCCAAAGAGAATTTTAAAACCTCTTTCTTTGGTTGGCTGGTTCCGATTTTTTACCAAAAAACTGTCTCAATTCAATAAGAGAAATGACGTCAAATTAAGTATTTCTACGTCACAAAACATCTTACTTGCAGAAAAGAATTAAACAACAGTTAACACAAAATTACTAAACATATATATATATATATATATATCTTAATTAAATAAATTAAAAACACAATTTTTTGTTTGATTCAATACAGGGTTACCCAAACAAGATGAAGGTTCAAAGACGACTGAAAAGGCTATTACAAGATTCTATAGAAATAATAAGCAAGGAAAAAGAAAAACTAATGTTAAAACAGTTATATCTAGAAAATGAACTAAACCCTTTATTTATTAATCATGATTTGTCTGAGTAGGTTTACGTTGTAACTAACTATATCCATGGTTTATAAATTTATAGTTCAAGCTTGAATGATTAAACCTAAACGGAGATTAATTAAATCCTAATTTATCTAAGTGTTGAGCTGGAGTGTACAGAGAGTTGTTGTGAGATGAGAAGCTAGTTAATCTAACCTAAGGAGGTTGAAACACGGTTAAATCAGGGTCAATGTTTTTGTTCCAGGTTTTCAAGTTCAAAACCTGAGTAGATAAGGATTTGTTAACTATACGTTAATTATCTTTATCATTCATCCCTTCATACCGTTCTCATCCATTCCTTCATACCATTCCTTCATACCATTCCTTCATACCATTCCTTCATACAATTCTCATTCATTCCTTCATATCATTCTCATTCATTCCTTCATACCACCCCTTCATATCATTCTCATTCATCCTTTCATATCATTCTCATTCATCTCTTCATACCGTTCCTTCATATCATTCTCATCCATTCCTTCATACCACCCCTTCATACCATTCTCATTCATTCCTTCATACCGTTGCTTCGTATCATTCTCATTCATACCATTTCTTCATATCATTCTCATCCATTCCTTTATACCATTCTCATTCATCCCTTCATACCATTCTCATTCATTCAATTCCTTCATACATTATCATCCATTCCTTCATATCATTCTCATCCATTCCTTCATACCATTCTCTTTCATCACTTCATACATTTCCTTCATATCATCCTCATTCATTCCTTCATATAATTCTCTTTCATTCATTCCTTCATGCCATTCCCATTCATCCCTTAACTTACCATCCTAATTAATTCCTACACATTTTACGAATGAACGAATTCTAACTTATTTTGTTTAGACCATATGCACTTAGTACCCCCCCCCCTCCCCTGTAAAACGTTCCATTCTTCCTTCTACACGACTATATCCCTTTAAAGAAAATTTTCCTCTTGACTTCTTCAATATATGGAATCTATATTTCCATATAAAGTAGGTGACTTGTTATCTACCTCAGAGTAGAGAATTTTATAGATACATGTCTTCTGAAAGATAGATAAATACAACTGTACATAGAAAAACAACAAAAAATATCTGTCTTAGAGTACAGAATGTTATAGATACATGTCTCCTGAAAGAAAGATAGATTAAACTGTCCATAGAAAAACAACCAAAAATATCCATCTCAGAGTATAGAATGGGTTAGATACACGTCTTCAGAAAGATAGATAGATAAAACTGTCCATAGAAAAACAACAAAAAATATCTGTCTCAGAGTATAGAATGTAATAGATACATGTCTTCAGAAAGATAGATAGATACAACTGTCCATAGAAAAGAAAGAAAAAAATTATCCGTCTCAGAGCAAAGAAATGTTATAGATACATGTCTTCAGAAAGATAGATAGATACAAATGTCCATAGAAAAACAACACAAATTTTCTGTCTCAGAGCATAGAATGTTATAGATACATGTCTTCAGAAAGATAGATAGATACAACTGTCCATAGAAAAACAACAAAAATTATCTGTCTCAGAGAATAGAATGTTATAGATACATGTCTTCTGAAAGAAATATAGATACAACTGTCCATAGAAAAACAACAAAAAATATCTGTCTCAGAGTATAAAAAGTTATAGATACATGTCTTCTGAAAGATAGATAGCTACAACTGTCCATAGAAAAAAAAATCCGAAAAAAGATAATCAGACAGTTTATTTAATTGAATTGAGTATTACTCTGCAATAACAATAGAACTCGCCTCACACTCTAATTTTCTAATCCTTATATCTTTGCAACTTGAAGTCGGAATAACTTTAAATGGTTTAAACCAAAATTTTGCTAGATCAAAAAAAAATATTAAAGTTTGAAATTTATTAATTTATTACAGGTGTCATGCACCATCAGGTTGCAAAGATAATGGATTTAAAAATTATAATTAGAGAAGATGGATTAGTTTGATGAAAGCTGGTTTGTCGGTTGGTCCGACCGAGGGATCGAATAAATGAAAGAATTTATCAGATCCTTGATCAAAACAATTTAAAAGATTGACGCCTCGCCTCATTGCCTTGTCTAAGAACTTATCACTTCTAACACGAACATACTTTTATGCACTCGACGCACATATTTGGAAAATCAGTGCTTAGAATCCATTTCATTTTGATGCGGATCCGCACTGGAAAAAATGGATCCGGATTCAGATTATTTCCTTAAAATTTAATGAATTTTTTAACTAAGCAGAATTTTCAAATTTTTTGTCTTTTTAGTTCGCTTATTTTTATGCAAAAACTTTATGAACCATTCAGAAATCAGGAAATTTTTGTGATATCTCTTTTTTCAATTTTTTTTCAGATTTGGTTTTTGAGAGTTAATTTTTTCAGTTTTTAGTTGATATTATGCCCCTAGGATCCGTGGATCTGCATATTATTGTGGATCCGGATCCAGGTCCAGGAAGCCAAAATCTTGCGAATCCTAAGCGCTGTTAGAAAATACTCCAATACTCTCCTTTGCAAAAATAAAACTTTTAAACATACTTTGCGAACTTAGTACTTAGCGCAAATTCTTTAAACACTTATGTTGTGCATAGTTGAGTAAATCATGAGTAAAAAATAATATTTATAAATTTTTATAAATTTAACAAAAGGAGAACTAAGTAACCACATATTAATCCAACCATATGGTGTTCTTTATCTTTTCCATTGTAATTGTAAACTTTGTTCATTGCTTACAAAATAATAAATAATAAAAGAGGCAGCAACAAACACCAATCAGGGTTTTTATATTTATTGATGTAAATGATCGAATTCAATAATATATCACAACATTAATTTTTATTATTTTATTTTACAAAAAGAATACTTTTTTACCAGAAAATTTTTAAGTAAAAATTCAATTGAAAAATCAAAAAAATATTTGAGTGGAAATCTAATGCTGGGCAATATGCCAACTTAATTCGATGAACGTGAAGATGACTGCCAATATTAGGGATTAACAAAATTTCTTGTCTCACGTGACCATTTCCTATCATGCATACATTAAAATACTGGACACAGTCCGTTATTCTTTTCTACCAGTAGCTGTCACAGTCCATTATTCTATTCTACTAGTAGCTGACATAGTCCATTCATCTATTCTACCAGTAGCTGACACAGTCCATTATTCTATTCTACCAGTAGCTGACATAGTCCATTATTCTATTCTACTAGTAGCTGACATAGTCCATTCATCTATTCTACCAGTAGCTGACACAGTATATTATTCTATTCTACCAGTAGCTGACACAGTCCATTATTCTATTCTACGAGTAGCTGACACAGTCCTTTATTCTATTCTACTAGTAGCTGACATAGTCCATTCATCTATTCTACCAGTAGCTGACACAGTCCATTATTCTATTCTACTAGTAGCTGACACAGTCCATTATTCTATTCTACTAATAGCTGACACAGTCCATTATTCTATTCTACTAGTAGCTGACACAGTCAATTATTCTATTCTAACAGTAGCTGAAACAGTTCATTATTCAATTCTACGGGTAGCGGACACAGTCCGTTATTCTATTCTACCAGTAGCTGTCACAGTCCATTATTCTATTCTACTAGTAGCTGACATAGTCCATTCATCTATTCTACCAGTAGCTGACACAGTCCATTTTTCTATACTACCAGTATCTGTCACAGTCCATTATTCTATTCTACCAGTAGCTGTCACAGTCCATTATTCTATACTATCAGTAGCTGACACAGTTCATTATTCTATTCTACCAGTAGCTGACACAGTGCATTTTTCTATTCTAACAGTAGCTGACACAGTTCATTATTCTATTCTAGCTAACATAGTCCATTATTCTATTCTACCAGTAGCTGACACAGTCCATTTTTCTATTCTACCATTAGCTGTCACAGTCCATTATTCTATTCTACCAGTAGCTGTCACAGTCCATTATTCTATACTACCAGTAGCTGTCACAGTCCATTATTCTATTCTAACAGTAGCTGACACAGTTCATTATTCTATTCTACCAGTAGCTAACATAGTCCATTATTCTATTCTACCAGTAGCTGACACAGTCCATTTTTCTATACTACCAGTAGCTGTCACAGTCCATTTTTTTATACTACCAGTAGCTGTCACAGTCCATTATTCTATTCTACCAGCAGCTGTCACAGTCCATTATTCTATTCTATCGTAGCTGACACAGTCTACAGACTACTTTTCTTGTTAATCGGCTCCGAAATTATTAAAAATCTCAATAGGTCTTAATCCTTGAAAAATATGCTCAGCCTAGGGCTACTCATTACAAGTTTCATATCGTTCAGAGTTTTCAATACTTTGGATAAAATGATACTGTTAAGTTCACTATATCCTGTGTAGGTTTGAAAAAGATACTAATACTATAATAGCGTAACCTATACCCCCCCTCCCTCCCCGGCCCCAAGCTCACCTGATCTAGAATATATGAGAAGTATTCAAGTTCACTAAGTTGTTTTATCACTGGTTTACGATCACAATGCACCCTTCTCTTCTCACACTGGTGTTCTAACTTGAACTGGTAGATGATGACTAACTAATAGTGCGCCGCCGCGCAGTAGACAGATACTCCGCCGCCCCCACCCCTCGCTCTAGTTCCAGGTGCACTGGGGGAAATTACAGGGGGGGGGGAATACATTGATTCGGTTAATATATAACGTATTGACGCAGGTCTGGTTACGCAAATCTAGCGTAGATCTAAACAATAGGTATGGAAATAAACAATAGGTTGCTAGGGGCTATAAAATGTTCCCAACTGAAATAGTATTGTTTTATTTATAATCTATATGGCAAGAAGTGTGGGTGTTGTACACTGTATGTAGTATGTACAGAGATTACATTGTACATGCATGTAGCTAGCAGCTGAACAGTTTACACCTACACTACAAGTTTTTAAAAAAGTTTTTTTGTTTAATTTATAGATTTGTACTTTACATAAGTCCACATGGATAAAGAACTGATCAGGATGTCTGAAGGGGATAGGAGCAGTCCCAACCCCCAACCCTGAACTATATGTAACTTAAAAATATATACCATTTTATTTCCTGAACAATAATACGATGGGGGGGTGGGGGGTTTGTATTCGACCCCCCCACTCCTGTGGTTTCTTCTGTATAACGACTTACATTTCATGCATAGGGTAGGAGGTCGGTAAAACGGCAGGTCGGTGTTTAAAAAAAATCAGAAGTTAATAACTTTTTTTAATAACTAAGCTACAGGGCGTAGACTTATATATTTGAAAAGACCTTGAAAAATGGATATAATATCATGTGTCATAATTGTTAATATTTGTTAAATGTAAACAATTTTGGAAAAATTTTTCGACATACTTTTTGAACTTTTAAAATCCTCCCTTACACTCTAACCATTGAAGCTAGAGGTCTAACTTTTTTTTATGAGTAGGCCTTGAAAAGTTGGACATGACTCACACTCCCCTATCTCAACTCTAAAGGTTGGGTGGAAACTCCTCCTCCTCCTCCTCCTCCCTTCCTATCCCAACCAAATTGGCTCTCTTGATTTCCCTTAATATATGACTAGAATATCCCTCTTAATCCCACAGTGGGCAAATCATTTGAATAAATAAAAAAAAGTATAATCATGGATAAAAGTTATCCAGTATTTGGTTGTTGTCCCCTTTGTTTAATCGATAGTTTATTTTTTTAACCTTTTTCTCCAGTTTTGATTATGTTTGATCAATTTACTTTAAAGCGATAAAAAAAATTCCTTCAAACTCTTTAAAATCAAAATAGTATGTGATGTGTACGTTCTTGTCAAGTATTCTATGTCCAGTGTTTCTATGTCAATCTTTCTTTGTCTACTGTTCTATGTCAAGTTTTCTATGTCTAGTGTTTCTATGGCAATTGTTCCATGTTTATTGTTTCTATATCAAGTGTTCTATGTCTAGTGTTCTATTTCTAGTGCTCTATGTCCAGTGTTCTATATCAAGTCTTCTATGTCTACTGTTCTATGTCTAGTGTTCTATTTTTAGTGTTCTATGTCTAGTGTTCTATATCTACTGTTCTATGTCTAGTGTTTTATGTCTAGTGTTCTATGTCTAGTGTTCTATGTCTAGTGTTCTATGTCTAGTGTTCTATGTCTGTGTTCTATGTCTAGTGTTCTATGTCTAGTGTTCTATTTTTAGTGTTCTATGTCTAGTGTTCTATATCTACTGTTCTATGTCTAGTCTTCTATGTCTAGTGTTCTATGTCTAGTGTTCTATGTCTGTGTTCTATTTCTAGTGTTCTATGTATAGTGTTCTATATCTAGTATTCTATGGCTAGTGTTCATTGTCTAGTGTTCTATGTCTAGTGTTCTATGTCTAGTGTTCTGTGTGTAGTGTTCTATGTCTAGAGTTCTATGTCTAGTGTTCTATGTCTAGTGTTCTGTGTCTAGTGTTCTATGTCTAGTGTTCTATGTCTAGTGTTCTTGTGTTCTATTTCTAGTGTTCTATGTATAGTGTTCTATATCTAGTATTCTATGGCTAGTGTTCATTGTCTAGTGTTCTATGTCTAGTGTTCTATGTCTAGTGTTCTATGTCAACTGTTCAATGTCTAGTGTTCTATATCCAGTGTTCTATCAATATACCTGGATCCTTTATGTCTATAGTGTTCTCTGAATGTATTGGGAGACTTGTACTATATATCAGGTTATACGATATTCCATGAAAATTGCAGTACGTTGTACTTTAAATACAATAAGTTAGAATCAGAACTCCGCTTTGGTTACAGTGTAGAGTAATTGTACCCATTAAGTATTCAGGTTGAGATCATACCTCGTTTTATAGGTTAGAGATATTGATTAAGAACTTGATAGATAGCTACTCTTGTGTCCCTGTGTGACATTTAGAGCCGAATTAATAGCTTGTTCAATAGCTACGCTTGTGTCCCTGTGTGACATTTAGAGCCGAATTGGTAGCTTGTTCGATATAGTCACGCTTGTGTCCCTGTGTCTCATTTAGAGTCAAATTAATAGCTTGTTTGATAGCTACTCTTGTGTTCCTGTGTCGCATTTAGAGCCAAATTAATAGCTTGTTTGATAGCTACTCTTGTGTCCCTGTGTCGCATTTAGAGCCAAATTAATAGCTTGTTTGATAGGTACTCTTGTGTCCCTGTGTGGCATTTAGAGCCGAATTGATAGCTTGTTTGTTAGCTACGTTTTTGTCCCTGTGTGGCATTTAGAGCCGAAATAATAGCATGTTTCATAGCTACGCTTGTGTCCCTGTGTGGCATTTAGAGCTTGAGTAAAAGCTAGATTGATAAGCTACGCTTCTGTCCCTTTGTGGCATTCAGACTTCAGAGCCAGGTGGGTTTGGTCCTGGTTGACTTTGATAGCGGACTGGTTGAGCCTGGACTGATACAGTTTGGGGAACGAACTTTTAAGAGTACGGTATTTACTACTGACTAGTCTACGAACATATATATTAATGTTTTTACATGCATTCTACTATTTAAGTATGCTGGGGGGGGGGGGAGCATGGGCATCACAGGGGTTGTTTTGAAATGGTGAATAAGTAAACATTTTGTCAAATTCTCTTCCAGAGTCAGCAGTACGTACACTGTACAGTTTACAGCTTGTACAATATATCTACATGTACATTTGTAGCAATTTTTATTTGAAAAATACAAAATAAAAAAATTCTAAATGATGATAACAATTGAATTAGTTTTCATTAGAAAAGGATTAAAAAAGCAGGAACATAAAATAATTATTCATTAAAATCTGTTCTTTCTTTTAAAAAGAACAATGAATATATCTATTGTTAAAAATTGTATTATTTCACTGTAGTGATTTAATTGAATCCTTTGTTACCCACAAGGTTTTATATACTGGAAAAACACAAATGTTTCTGTTAATACATTTTTTAATAAAAAAAATATATTATATTGTAATTTTGTTCTTGTATTGACAGAAAATAAATTATATTGTAATTTTGTTCTTGTATTGACAGAAAATAAATTATATTATAATTTTGTTCTTGTATTGACAGAAAATAAATAATTTTGTAATTTTGTTCTTGGATTGACAGAAAATGAATTATATTGTAATTTTGTTCTTTTATTGAGGAATTCCTATCTTCAAAATCAGTTTTTCAAATATTTCACTAGTGTCTTATAAAACATAAACTGTGATTGAAAAATATTAACTCAAAAGAATAAATAGTATTTAATTTATTTTTAAGGTATTTTAACAATTAAATGATATTCTCAAAAAGCACACCTAGTGGGGAGCACTGTAGTAATTCAAAAATTTTGTTTAGCTATAATATTGGTTGTTGTACTTGTAGAGTAGAGAATTTTAAATTAAAAGATAGCCTAGATTCAACCCTAAACTATCAACACTGCAGAATATTTGCATAAACAATAATAACTATTTATGCACACATCTTGTCAGTGCCTAAATCAGAATATATACAATTTAGGAAGCTTCGTGCCACGCAAGTTTATTTGAAATAACCTTTGTTATCAATAATATTCATTATATCAGAAGTTTAGCAGATGTTTGTAATACACATTTCTTCTGTTCTGCAAACTGTAAAACCGCTGAATTGTATAGAGATAAAATCATGAAGTAGTGATCCAAAGAGCGTCCAGAATTCATAGTTATTTTTACGTATAAGAGTAACTCCGAGGAATTCTAATATGCTGCGGCTTCCTCCACAAATCTTCCAGAATTCATCAAAAAAGATGAAAAGACAGAATTTGAACATTTTTACAATGGTTTGTGCAAACTGTGTTTTAATAAATTAGAAACTGTCTCTTGAAACTTCAGTTCCCACAAGTTTCATGTATCTAACAAGTAGATTATAACACTGATAATAATAATAAAACATATCTATATCCTGTTCCAAGTTTTGAATTACAGGGATAACCTTTGGTTAGCAATAGATCACGGTTTGACAGAAACACAGTATAATAAAACTAGGTGTCCTAGCCTAGGGCTCACATTGGTTACATTAAGGGCTAAAACTTCAGTTAGAAACAAGGTCGTCATAAAATTTATATTTTTTTGTATTAAAAAATCTTTCAGCCAAATTAGTTAGTCCAACTTTTTTTAAAAAGTTTTCATATAATGTAAAGAGTTAAAAATGTAAATAACCTGAACTAAAAAACAAGTATCTTCCAAAGCACATAATATTCTTCACTGTACATGGGGGTGTATGTACAGAGTACACATAATACTCAGAGGCCGTTCCTTCCATAAACTATATTGGTCGACAACTTGATGTTTCCTATATTAGTCGTCAAGTGTACGGAGCAATTTTATCTATCTATCGGATATAAATTTAGCATGAGACATTTATATATCGGCCCGGGCCAACATATCGTCCCCCAAACAGTACGTAAACTACACGACCACTATCTATAGAGAGAACGGGCTCAGGCATGAATTATGATTATAATATTATTATTATTTTAATATGATTATAATAATATAACAATGCAAAAAAATTACTTAAAAATCTAAATAATTGTTTTAAACCTTGAAAGTTTTATTAAATTAAAATACTTAACCCCCTAACCACCTTTCATATCTGAAACTTAACAGTT